TAATTAATTGCATTCCTGGTGCGAAGCAACCGTGAACCAAAGAGTGAAAGTGATTATGATCCCGTAGCTCAACTCCTGATTGGCCCTAAGTCCCTGAACTTGCTCTTACTGAAATGGTCCCGCAAAGTGACGTTGGCTGGCACTCATTGGACCCCCCCCCCACCGACCAATCTACTCCCCCCTCCCCCCTTTCCAAGGCCGTATGAAGGCCTCGAGGGTTAGGATTCATTGTCAGCCGTAAAGCTGCATCATTCACCCGCTCTGCGATACAACGTGCCTATGACTACTTTATCACTATGAAGACGGCTCCCTTGGAATCAAAGAAGGTGGCCCGAAACCCAATGAAACGGAACAGCGCCCAAACTCCACTGACATCTGGCTCTATCAACATGGTCATCATGGTCTATATAGGCCTTGCCATTCTGCCAATGAAACATGACACACCACAACCGTACACAAGCCTGGTAAGCCCGTGACTTGGCCCGCGGCACCCCTCGCTAAAGGTCTGGAGTTCTGGGCCGAGATGTTTCCGTAGGATTTGTTGCTTGATCATCTGCGGAGAAAGAGAACGAGGGCATGGAGCTACGACATAATCAGCTATCTGTTCTCTGCGCGGAACGGGTGTATTCAAGAATCCAGCTTGTCGGTTCAGCCGCAAATCCAACATGACGAGAAGCTTGTGTGGCTTTCACCTTTGAAGACTTTCACTAAAATCAATACCCACGAGGCAAGCAGTGCTATGACCTCGATATAGTGGTCGTATAGTGGTCGTATAGTGGTCGTATAGTGCACAAATTCGCATGGGTGCTAGGGGGGGCAATCCTCCGAGACTGCCAAAAATGCCAGCTCTGCGGCTTCCCACAATCAGACCATTTTTAACCCCAACACAACCCCCACCCCCCGGCCCGAAACACACCAAAACTAAAATTACCTCAGCTGTTCACAAAAACAAGCGATGTTTTGATTCCGGGACATATTTAGCAACCTCAAATCGTACATTATGTTCAAAAGAGATCTCGGAAAATAGATCAAACTGGAAGTGTTGTGTGGGAAGTTTGCTGACACATCCCCGTCCTCAAGAACTCCTCGAAGAAGGCTTTGCCACGGTCACTGCTTCCTCTGGAATACTTGCCCAGGGAAAGCTTCAAGTGCTGGTACGCCTAGCCCAATGGCAAGCGTAGGCTTGAAAAGCGGTGAAATTGGACAACCTAGGCACATGACGGAAAAACGCCTGCTCGCTTTATTTTCTTTTTCAGGAACTTGTTTTGTTGCTGTGTATCTTGTTTTCTGGTGTCCTTGTTTCTGGATTGTTAAATCAGCTATTTGTTTGCCAGTTTGACTTATTGATTTATGTTTTTGGTGTGTTCTTTCTTGATGTTTTGTTTCTTTCAGTTTTCTTGACTTATTTCATTTATTTCTCTCTATCTCTCGTTTTTTCTCTCTTTGTTCTGTATCTCTCTCTCTCTCTCTCTTTCTCCCTCTCTTCCACTCTCTCGGTCCATGTGCAGGAGGTGCCACTTTGAAGTTCTGTTAGTGCTCCTTGAATCCCTCTCAGCGCATCGCGTGATAGAGCTGGTTTCATTCGGTGTGGAGCATGACGCCGGTTGCCTGGGCCTTGCTCAAACAGCCTTCAAGCAGCAAGAAACACCTCTGCTGTGATGTCCCCAATGCGCTCCCTCTCCGGAACCCTCGCAAGTCAACTTGAGACTAAACACGAACCGTGTGTGACCTTCGAGCAGCATGTGGTCCTCCGTTTGATGGCGACTAGCGAGTTGTCATTGCCAGCTCCAAGCACGGTCAAGGTGGTAACAGGGGCATTTGGACGGACGTGTAGCTGCCAACCACACTGCTACAATGTCTGCACGGTTCCTTCCTTCTGGCTAAAATGCAAGCATGTCTCTTGCTTTAAGTGACCCCGAAAGCCATGGAACGCACCTTTTGGCACTGATTTGCAGAGGAGCCTCTGATTGAAACCACCTTTCATATATTTCATGTGTGTTTTTGTTATTTTCTTTTCTTTTGGGGGGGGTCCGTTTTTGCCTTGCAGGCAGCCTCTGGCTGCAGGCGCTCAAGGCAGACCCTCAAAGTTGGCATAGGCCCTACCCACCAACAAACAAGCCGGCAGGCTTCGCCAATTGACATGAGTGTTTAGCTTTTTGAGGGTACCCTTTTTTCAGGATTGGTCAGGGAGGTTTCAAGGGAAGCCAAAAAGGGAAACCACCAGTCTTTGGGCCAACCCGCTTTTAGAGGGCTGCTGGTTTCCCAGCGAAATACATCACACCGGCCGTAAGCCAGCCCAGGCCTCCTGGCCTTGCTCCATGCGATGCTCGATCTCCTAGGTCAAGGTAAATGTTTGTTCCCCTTGACCCTTGAGCTGTCCGGAGGCGAAGGGCAATACGGAGACTGGGCTGGATGTCAGGTTTGGTGAATATTCAAACAAACCGCAGGGAACGGCATGACATTACGCTCACCAAATTCCCAGGAATTGGAAACCTACAAGGGTGCTTGTTAAAGGACAGCTCTCCTTTATAGGGTCTTTTTCAGGTTCTATATGTTGGGAGGGTATTCCTCCCGGATCCACCTGGTCGTTTGTTGAAACCGAGGCACCGCATAGCCTGAGATGAAGCGCACCAACGGGTCACGCACAAAGGTGAAGGAGGTGATGAGGCTGTGGTTGCGAGACGCCTGAAAGTCCTGGGCAAGAGCGGGCTTATATGGGTGTGGCTCAAACTTCCAGAGCCAGGGTTGCTCCTGTTTTTGTCTTTGCGTCCAAGGAGCCATAGCGCCCAAGGATTGCAGAATCCTCCCATACTTTCTTTACAGACCTCCTTTGGCAGAATGCTTCCAACCCCCCTTAACCTGCCCTGGGAAACCCCGAGTTTCCTCCATGAGGCCTATCCGGCCCTAAGTCAGGTCTTTGGCAAGTGCAGCAGGGCCTGGAATCCGAATTCTGGGCCAAGGGTAATTTGCCATATTCAACAATCTAAATGCTGAAAATCACCCCCCCTACCCGTAGACCTAGGAGGTTGGAAGGAAGGCTTGCACTGGGAGCTATGGTCACCTGCAAAAAGAAGACACGCCTTGGCTGCATATTGCAGAATGGCGGGTGCTTGAAGCAGAGGGCGAGATGTGGGCAGCTTTGAAACCGTGAGCGGCACCCAACGCCGCACCTCTAGTTCTGTCAGCCTGAGACCCCACATGGTTTCTTCCTGTTGGTCACACGCCTTGGACCAGGAGCAATGGTCATACGGTTTTGTTTCACGTATTGTTTGTCAACTAAAGAATTGAACAACAGCAAAGCTTCATACAGGTCGCATATTATGTAAATGACAGAAAAACAACGGACAGAAGGGCAAATACTAACAGAACCACCGACAAAACATGGCGGAGGGTTTTGGGCGCTTCGGATGTTTCCCCTGGCTCTGTGGCTCTTTAGGCATGGGTCTCTGCAGAACTCCTCGTACTGGGCACCAGCCTCAGCCAAAGGACTCACTGAAATCGAAGTCCGCAGTTCTCCCCTGGAGGCAATGAGGCCTTTCAAGGGTCACCAAGTTTTCCACCCAACAAGGCACAAGGACCCCTTTGTTTGAGGCCGAGTCCTCTGAAAGTCAAAAGGGGACTCCTCTTTACCCGTCGGCGGTTCCATCGTCTGAGCTTCCGGAGGAGTCCATGAGGCCATGAACCCACCAGTATGAAACCATACAGAAGGCCCCGCAAGATGGCTTAGCAAGGCTCAAGAGTAAGCCTAATTAAGGCTTACAAGGCCTGCTTGCAAGGGGCGGCCTCTTGGGATTTGGCCACAAACCCCACACGCTCAGATCTCCAGGGTTGGGTTGCCTGATTCGATTGCAAGCTGAGATTCAATGGTTCTCCGCATCTTGCGGTTTGTTGCTGGTCCGCACGGTTCGCGAACACTTGGGGAACGATTTGATTGGTATAGCAAGTATTGCAAGTAGAGCAGCCACAAACTACGTTCCTTGTTTCAGGCTTGAACTGAATAGAAGCGAACCATAGGGCGCACTTGCAGATTTGGCCAACGCAGAGCAAGCAACACACAGCAAGGAATCGCCGGAACAAAATCAGCACCTGATAATTCATCAACTTGTCAACAGCTTGAGCAGCCCTCACAATTAAATATTTACTCGATTGCTTTAGAGGCACACCCGACCGATCCGCAAACAACATAAGCTATTGCACGGGTCAACTCATCCTTGGTCAGCTTCCTAGACAGGAATTGCCAGTGGTCACCCCCTGCGCTGCTTTATTTTCAAGGTCTTCTCAGCGTTCTTGCCACACAAAGACACAAAGCAACATATTGAAAATGGTGAGTACTTGGAATGGAGGGTTGACAAAATCGTTGCCGACTGACAGCGGGTGTCGAACATGCGAGAGGAACCCTTGCTTCATGGTTTGCCTTTTCCACCATATTAAGCAGCCCCCTTGCAAAGGCTCCTGGGGCTGTGCGCTGCTTATTTCCTCCACCACCTGGGAGAAAGGTGCGGGGGGGGGGGGGGGGTAACCAAAACAAGGCTCCTTCCATAGGCTGCAGATAAACTAGGCGAGAAAAAACAAACAAAAAAAACACAAAACATAGCCCCTGCCCTGCTGATTCCTCAGAGACCTGCCTGCACCACAGGAGTGCTCACCTTCTCCAAGTTCCGGAAGATTGTCTGCCCCGCCGCCTTCCAGATGTGCCGGAAGTACAACTTCCGGGACCCGCCTGGCATTTTCGATCCAAGCGCAAGCGAAAGACAGGTCGTTGCGCTTCGGGATGCAGGGGAGACAAACACTTGTTGGCTTCAGCTGGTGTAATTAGAACTAGGGGCCCAGAAAATATGGTTGGCGCACCCTTGGCTTGTACACGATCGACCCCTTGAAGTTCGATCAAACATGCTTGTGATACTGCTCAAACATGGTTGGCCCTGGTGAATTTGTACGGGGTCTATGGGATAAGTGACGACCTATTCACACTCCAGCCCCCCTGGCTCCCGCTACAGCGCTTCAGCAAAAGGCATCGCATCCCCTGCAAAAAAAAAACAAAAACAATTTCAGCCGTTCCCCCTTCAGCAGGGTTTCTACACTCCTAGCGTTTTGTGCAAACCAAAGGGTCGCCTTTGTCTCCATGCTGCTGACAACCTCAAGCCACGCCCGCCTGCGCATTCCGAAACCTGCCCTACGAACTCCTCTCCGTCGATAGCTGTAGGCCACCAGGCGGCTCCCGTCCAGCCAGTCTCCGCTTGGATCCTTCAAGTGGGAAAAAATGAAAATGCGACGAACATGTTTTGACGTCTCCGCCTAGCTTTGCCTCTTTCCACCCAGCAAAGGGAACCAGCAGCTTCAAACATGTACGTATTCCAGGACAACCTTTTGTGGGCCGGAATGGGAGGAAGCAAGTTTCGCAATAGGTGTCCAGCTACAGGCTGAGACTTGAGCCCGCCACAAAGAACCAACCACAAAGGCCTCATGCCTGGGTGCCCTTTCATTAGTTGGGGCAAACCCTCCCCCCAATTCAAGGAGATCCCAACCCGCTACTCCCCAGGTTGACGTGGAAACTGAGGTTCCAGCATCTTGAGAGATTCGAATCCCTTTTGAAAGGTCCAAAGGCCCGCCTGTGTGCGATCCATGTGAAGTTCCGTCAAAATTGGTTGTTCACAGTAAGTGCGTTCGAATTTAGAGAGTCCCCTATCGTTTTCCAGCGTTTGGTCTGTAGCACAAACGTATCTTTTTGTTTGAGAGTCCCCTATCGTTTTCCATGGTTTCAAGCACCCTGAGCCATATGGATGTCCAAGTGTAGACTACTTTCCTTTTCCGCAAATTCTGCCCGTGCTTCATGTGGGTGCGCCTTTTTTCGAGGAACCCCTGTTGGTGGGTTTTAAGGGAAGCCAACAGGAAACACACATTTTTGTGGGTCGCCAATTTAGAGACAAACCCCAGCCCTCTACTCACTTCCTGAGTTGATTTGCTTTGGAGAAGTTTTTAATCCATTTGTTTTGGCCACCAAAATGGTCTGCCCAAAGCAGTGTAACGTCCAGGAAATCGGGGAGGGAGCCTACCAGCTTCCACGATTGGAGGGCGGGTATTCGACTCCTGGGCCACAGGGCACGCCGGAGCTCGGTGAGGATGGCGAGGCACCTCCTGCCAAAGACTTTGCAGGCTGCAAAATCGATTCCCCGGTCGGCACTGGAATTCCAACAGCAAAACTCGGTTCTTCAGCTTCCCTCGAATTGGTTTCTCTACGGGAACCAGGGACAAGTCTAAAGTCCAGAAGCAAGGGAACTCGGTTGCTTTCTGCTCCCCTGCTAGAAGTTTAACTTTGAGTGGTTTAATGGAAAACCCATTAGTTGGCAAAAAGTTAAAGTCCTAACATCCGAGGAAAATGCACCAAAGGGAAGTGAGCTCTGGCGGTCCTGTCCCCTTTTGGGCAGAGATCTTTGGATTTCCGCAGCAGCGAGATCAACTCCGCGTCATCGGCGCCTCAAACCAGATTCAGAGGTTCGAATCGCCTTCTTGCGTCACAAGAAATGTGACCTCCGGTGGATTTCCGTGGAAAGAAAGGCCGCCCTTTGTATGGTAGAAATCAACATACCCTCTGATTGCCCAAGGGCCTGGGTCAATTCAAGGCCACATGTCTGGGGTCACTTCCTTTGTGAAGAGAAACCAGCGCCACTGTGTGACTATCGCCCCATGCCCAAAATGATTAACTACTTGACTGCAGAGTGGGGAAAAAAAGCCGCTTCCCCCAAAAGTCAAAGATCCAGCAAACCAGCCAAAGAGAAACCAGCACCACAGCCGAGCGATCGCTTCATCGGATCCGCCTGCTGCCTGGATCTCGCCTTGCGAGGTCACCCTCAGCTGCCGCCGCACCGAGTCCGCGCGCACCGAAGACAGCAGCGCAAGCAGCGCTAGGGCCAAGGTCATGGAAAAACAACGACGGCAGGGGTGGATCCACAAAAGCTACGTGCAAACCGTTTCCCAGAAATAGGGGTTGCCAATGAGACAACGTGAAAGCTGCAAGGCGTGATTTTGTCCATCTGTGTAGTTCTTTCTTACCGTATTTTCGGCTACTCCAGCGGGTTGAGCGGTGTGGCGTAGAACACGGACTTCAGTTACACAAGAACATGCATGCATGCATGGGTACCAAATCACAAGAGTCAGCTGCAGGTTTTGACCCCTTGTGACCAACAAATGGCATTCCTGGACCTCTGGTCCACATTCCGACCGAGGGATTTGGCAGACCACTGAGCCAGAATCTGGCTGCTGCCACAAGTTGATGCGCGGCATTGGGCTCAACCGTGCACTTCAGTAGGTACCCCTAATAGTATAAATGTATACAAATATGTACCAATATGCAGTGCATATCGTGAACAAATTAAATGCTTGCACCTAGCCCCGGGACACAGATTGGTAAACCAGGGGGGCAGAGAAATATTGCAACATACAGCACGTCTTACCCGCCCTCCGTCAAACATCTAAGATCATCTAACACCAACATGAAACCACTGATCGTGCGCCCTCACGAAAGAATCCTCCACTGATGTTTGGGACCAAGAGGGTATTCGTCCTTACTGTCGTGGCTGCTTGGACCCTCTGATAATGCCAACGCGCAATCGCACATCTGTTTGAGCCAATGTCCATTGCCCCCTCCCGCCGACACCGACGCCTTGAAGAGGTTGTACGGCTTTGCTTGGCCACTCTGGACATTCACCTCGCTGGCTGTGAAAGCGTACCCGTTGCCCCTTCGTAACATACTTTGACTCAGACCAACGAATGGAACGCATGTCCTGCCGTGAAACATGCTTAGCACAACTGGATGAGGATGTGGACCTGAAATGACGCAAGTGAGGTGTGATGCGCAAACCAGAGCGGCAGATTCCATGGCCCCGGTGCTACTGTCTCCCCCTTGGATCTGTGAAAGAATGATCCTACAAAAAAAGCGACACGCAGTTCGACTCCACAGAATGTGTGTGTGTGTGTGTGTGTGTGTGTGTGTGTGTGTGTGTGTGTGTGTGTGTGTGTGTGTGTGTGTGTGTGTGTGTGTGTGTGTGTGTGTGTGTGTGTGTGTGTGTGTGTGTGTGTGTGTGTGTGTGTGTGTGTGTGTGTGTGTGTGTGTGTGTGTGTGTGTGTGTGTGTGTGTGTGTGTGTGTGTGTGTGTGTGTGTGTGTGTGTGTGTGTGTGTGTGTGTGTGTGTGTGTGTGTGTGTCTGTGCGTGTGTCTCTGTGTGTGTGTGTGTGTGTGTCTGTGTGTCTCTGTGTGTGTGTGTCTCTGTGTGTGTGTCTCTGTGCGTGTCTCTGTGTGTGTCTCCGTGTGTGTCTCTGTGTGTGTCTCTGTGTGTGTGTGTCTCTGTGTGTCTCTGTGTGTGTCTCTGTGTGTGTGTCTCTGTGTGTTTCTGTGTGTGTGTCTGTGTGTGTCTGTGTGTGTCTGTGTGTCTGTGTGTGTGTGTTTGCCGTTAATGTTGTTTTCTGCACAGGGTCCCAACTGCAACGACAGAAACAAGCTGCGGATCTGGGGGAGGCGTGTGACTGACAAGGCGGGCGTGCCTCCATGCCTTCCTCCCAGTGCTCGTCGTTGAAGGCAGCCTACGGCTGGCAGGTCCCCTTTTTGCAGAGGAAAGGAGGAGAGACATGTTGAGCATTTTTGAATGTTGCAGGTTTGCCTAAAGCGCCTTGGCAAAGCCTTCCGCATGTTTGTGACAGAAGCGGGTGCGCAAGAATGGATGAGCGTAACTGCAGATGTTCTTCGCCTGGCGCGGTCGTTGCGCTCGCGAAGTAAGTCTGCGTGCTGTGAAGAGGTAGCCTTTAGTTACCTGCGTGCTTAAAAAAGTCTTTGCAACTGGTAGCCTGTGCTTCCCGCTTCAACTTGTCAAAGTAGAATCCCCCACAAAACCGCCAGACGGCCACTTTAAAAGGAAGACTGCCCAACCCACAGACGGGCAGACCTTTGGGGTTCCCTTACAGGAAACCACAACCGATGGTTTTCTCGGGGGTCATTCCTGGGGCTCCAGCCACCAGCTGCTTCACCTGAAGCGCTGCCGCAATCAGAACCAGTCGTCACCCGACAAGGCGCTGCCTCCAAGAGGTTCTTGGGATTTCCCTTTGGTTGTTTTGGGGGGGTGGAATGCCAAAGATCAACGCAGAAGAGTGCATTCGAAACTTGGCTTGGGTTCTATTGAGAGTATGTTTCGAACTGTTTGGTGGTAAGGGGACGGCTTCGCAACCCAACTGGAGATCAACCAAATCGGCTTTGAATCAAAAGACAAAAGCGAGCCCAGCTTTGCAAAGCTGTATGCCTCCCTCTGGGTACCTTGAGTGACCATTTTGCAAAGGTTCTTGAAACTACTTTGGGAGGGGGGTTCCCTTGAAACCACCACAGCATGATCTAATGTGAGGCTGTCACTCTAAAGGACCCTGTCAGATGACCCAGTCCCTGGATATCTGGAAATATCCGAAGGGAATCCACCGCGTTGCCTTGCCGGAAAAGGGCCTTCTTTGACCGGACATGGTTGCCAAAACAACAAAATACCTAGAAATTTCCGAGCAGCTGAGCTAGCAGTGATTGTCCATGCTGGGTTTTCGAGGAGAACTCATCCAACAAGAGAGCCCTTCGTAGACATTGCCGTGCCTTGAGGGATTTCCATTGCAGGTCCAAAAGCGTCCAACCCGCAGAGATGGATGCATGGATGTGTCTCCAAGTAGGGGACCTCGTAAAATGTGGGGTGGAGGGTGAGGGGCCCCTCATTTTCCCTCTGAGCTCACACAACCCAAACAAGGGTACTCCATTTTTTGGAGTGACATACCTTGTCTGGCCATGTCTGGCCCACTGGCCCACTCAAAACCGCACCTTCGTCTGGAAGTCGGCATTCAGCATCCGCGCATAGCTCGACAACCTGAGCCACCGGACAACGGACCTCCAACTTCGAGTGTCTTGGCCAAGGCCGATTTTTGTGCTCACTCACACAAGATCCAGGGTTTATGTGGTAGCTCCGCTAAGTTCGCTCCGGAGTCCTCATAGTCCTCCCCATTTTGGGAAGGACAACGCAATCAAGCATGGAAATCCCGGTGGTGAATCATATAGGGGCCCAACTCGTCTTAACAGGTGGCTGGTTGCTAATACCATCTCATGCGCCACACAATGTGGTCCCCGCCCTTGGTTCCCTGTTCAAAGCCCCAAAAAGGTACCCAGCTCCCAAACAATGTACCCCTTGTAGACTGGCTGATGCTGGTGCCTCGCATTGTGTTGAGCGGGGCGGCTTGGAGGACTGAAGGCTTTCGGAGGCTTGACTCAAATGGAGGGCGATTTGCGGTAGCCAGTGAGGGTCACTTCTCTGCGGAACACGTGGCCAACGGCAAGGATGCAAAGGTGATCGCGCATGTGGCATCATGCCCTGGTGAAAATGCGGGCCCGCCTACATCGCATGCTTTGTGCGCACAAACCGAAGTACGGGAAACCTAATTACACGCATTCCATATTTTGCGGAGTGGTGAGTATGTAGCTTGAAGTGTCGACTCGCAAAGGTGCAAGGCATTTCACTCGCCTTGCCCGCGGCCAATGGACCCGTGGCAGGGCGCCGGACACAAAAAAGGAAGTCGCCAGACCCAACCTTTTGCAACATGTGCCCGTGTCTGTTTTTAGGGGATCTGTCTTTTTGGTGGTTTTAAGGTGACAACCAAAAGGTTTGTTTGTTCTTTTTTTTTTTGGGGGGGGGGTCCCCCTTAAAACAAAACACCCATGTTTGATATCACACAAAAACTCAGCAACTCCAACTTGCGGCTTGATGGGAACTTGCATTAGTTGTACCTGCCTCGCACCCGACAGGCTGAGTTCCATCTCCAATCCGAAGCTTGAGTTTCTCACGGCGAGCGGTTTGAAGTTCTGCAAATACTGCAACTAACTCCGAAGAAAACACATGGACAAGGACATAAGACATAAGTTGAAGTCAGCAAAATAATCCACATTCTGCAAAACATGGAAGTACGTTTGTTCAAGTGAGGCAACGATTGAAGGTCCAGCCATTAACCTATCATTGGGTGTGTCTCAAAACAGGGAGCCCCTAAAATGGGTTGTCTCCCCCCAAAAACAACCTCCAAAAAGGGGCACCAAAAGCAGTCAATCGCCATAGAAGACCCCGTTGGGCTCCTGCCAAAGCCGGTAGATGTTCTGCCAGAAGAGATGCCTGGCAGTCGAGTTACCGACCGGAGTTCAACCATTTCCGCCAAAAGGACCTTGGTAAATGAATGCGGGTAGTGGGGTACTGTTAAACCGAACGTGATACTGCTGTCTGTGCTTATTTAACCCTTAAGCCCGCAGCCCGCCAAAGAAGTACTCACAAACAGAACGGGATTGAACCTCGTACCTTAAGGGGAAGGGGCAGGGTTAAGGTCCCAATTCAGATTCCCAGTCTTCCGCACAAAGGGAAAGAAAGAACTACACGTGGGTGCGTCTGCTTTTAAGGTACCCCGTTTTGTAGTGTTCAAGGGAGCCAAAATGAAAGGCACCAGTATGGTGGAGCGGGGGGGTCCCATGAAAAACACACACACATCCACATTTGGAAATTCCAAAAGCCGCCCGATCGCCCCCGATTCCAGTTTCAAGAGGGATGTTCACCCTAACGGACAACGTGCCTCATATCAAAGCGATCGAACCCTATACTCACATGCCCACTTGGTTATTGAACATCGCCAACGTCACCACTGTCTTGCGCGAGCTTGCTGCGATCCTCGTCCGTGGTTGGCACCACGCGCTCAAAGGAATTGCTCAGGGCTCGCCTTGTCGATATTGACGACTCGCGAACGCCTGCTCCAGCATGGCACCCTCTGCGGAGTTCCAGTGCGCGATGTCGAACACTCGGATCGCACCGGCAAATTTTCCCTGTGGCGACTGGCGGCGAAAGCCATACCCTTCTCATTGGCACGGGCCCAAACCTGTCACAGAACTCCAGTCCCTCTCGGACCCCCAAATCAATCCCCTTGTTAAACACCAACTTGAGTGAACTGTGACAATTCCCATCGGGTTCAACCCGCCATAAAAAGAATGGCCGGCTCAATTTAGATGATGAAACTCTCTAGGTATAAACAATGGTGGTATGAACCCCATTGTTTTACTGCTTTGAACCCCAATTCAAGTTTTCAAAATAGCCACGAAAGGAACCTTCAAAGGGCCGGGAATCGGCACGTTGGGCCACCCAGTGCAGCAACGGGCTCCTCGTATTCCCACAAAATCACTCCAAAGGAAGGCTCATTTATGCACACTCGGCACTCAACAGTTGTTTCAAGCACCAAAAAAAACCTTGCAGATCATGACAGTTCATGAGGGAGTGCTTCACAAGGAGGTTCCGAAACCCCGTGGCTGGGATTCGATGTCCACCGCGTCCAACGACCCCCGCGCCCGCTGGCAAAGTCCGAGTCAGTGCTCACCAGCTCCATGAGCGCGGCTGTGGCCTGAACGCCGCGGCGGCAGAGGCCATAAGCCAAAACCTGACTGAGCTTTTAACCCAGTTTTGTCTGGGGGTGTGGGCCCCCTTCAAAACCAACTAATTACTAATTAAACAAAGGGTGTTTTTGTCTTTGGCCGAAGGGGGTCTGGGAATCCGAAAATTGTGGATGCTCTGCTGGACATCATTTAGGCGGGGATTCATGTTGGCTGTTGTTGTTTTATCATGGTTCTACCCCGGCATGCCACCTGGCTGCTGCCATCTGCGCTTACCCTCCGTCCAACAATCGGACATGGGCCTGGGAACAGCCCAAACGCCGGAGGCCGGCCAAAAAGTTGCTCAACAGCCCCAGCAGAAGGCTTGGAGCGGAAGCTGCGCAAGCGCACATAGGCTGCGGAGAGTCGCCCCAGAGTGAGCAGCTCGTTGAGACTGAAGGTCAACCACGGTGCTGGCAGCAGTACTAGCTTCGGGACGTTCGTTGTGTGGCCTGAGCACCAGCCCTCAGCACACCGAATCCCGGGTACGGCAAATGCCGTAAGAGCAAGGCTGCCTGAATGAGCTGTCCCGGAAATTGAGATCTCCCATCCGGTGTGATCCCCTAAGTTCAGGGTGTCCTGCAAGTAGACATCCCATGGATTCGGCTACACACGTGAGTCCTGTGAGTTGGACGGGTTGCGGGTGAAGCAAAGCATGATTATAAACGCGTATAAGCCGTATAACCTTGCTGAAGCCAGGTGGAACAACCCTTCTAAAATGGCCAATAGGGGTGTGGTATGGTCCTTTCGTCCCAAAGTACTGGGCCAAACGCAACCCCCCTGCCAAAAGTGAGCGGCTTGCTAGTGGACACGGCAAATGAAGAAACAAGACTGCGAAAAGTTGAAAAGGCGAGCCAGGATGGCTTGCCTTTAGACCCCGCATGCGCTCTAGGTTCCCCTTCGTTGTGTGTGCGTTCCTTCAAAACAAATCCAACAAAGGTTACTAAGCAAAAAACAAAACCTACTCCCCTGCCCAGTTAGGCGTGGAGAAGGGCACGCTCAGGGCATATCTGTCCATAGGCGCTTTTGTGGCTGGCGATGTTTAGGTTGAGCCACGAACAGCGTGCATGATGACGATTTGGCCAAATGATTTGGCCCGCATCTGGGCACTAAAGAAAGAACGTAGTTTCTAATTCTGTTGCATCACTGGCCTAGCCTAAAAATAACTAATGTAGTTCGGAGGGGGCCCCAAACGCTCGTCTGGCGTTTCTGCAAGGACGCATCCAAATATCACCCGCAAATCAAACGAGGGCTGTTAAGTCAGCCAGTCGAAGCACGTTAAGTATGGCAAAACTAATTATTTACCAAATTCATTTACCCCGCCAGTCCCAACCACAAACATGATGTACGTTAGGACCTGTCGGACCTGTGGCAAAATTTGCACTGTTTGCTTTACATTTAGCCACTTGCAATATGTAAGCAGCCTGAGGGATTTTGCATCCCCCCCCCACCCGTTCCCCTTAAAGCATAACCCCTATCAAGGCAAACTCGCCGGACGTTTGCCAAAAAGGCCACTAAAACCACGAGGGACCCGGCACACACCCCCGAACCGCAACCCCCTGCCAACGCCTGGCCCGGGTCCGTGCTGCGCTCTCCAAAGGCCTGCCAAACCATAGGACCCCAGCCACAGGGGTCCTTGCTTGGGAGAGGGGGGTGGAAACCACCCACCCCAAGGCGATCTTGGAGAGATGTGACGGTTGATGGATTTGGCTTCACCTTGCTTGTTGCTTGTTTTCAAGGTGTGATGCTTGGTATTCTGCCAGTGTCAAAGGCAGCCCCCAAATGGTAGCCTCTACGAAATGACCCCGGTTCTTCGCAGCCCCCACTCAAAATGAACAAACTAGCAAACAACAATACCAAAACAGCTGCCAAGAGCAATGAAGCAACCATTTGCCAGGGCCGCTGGTAGTGACGCCCTTGCGTATGTGTTTTAAAGTTTGATTGCAAACCCCATGAACAATCACGTTTTCGAAGACTATTTTCCTCATGGGTCTCATGTTGGGCTAGCCAGAGAGATCCAGACCTTGGCTAGGCCAAACCCACAAGGGAACGCGAATCCTCTCCAAGGTCCCGGTGGCCCAGCGACCTCCAGTCACCCTGGTAGAAAGAAAAAAACATTGGGCTTGACCCGGAATTGAAAAAGAGTCGGAGTAAACAATTGTTTCCCTTCCTTTCGGGGAAGTCAAACGATATGTGCCGTTTAGCCCCCAGAATCGGAAAATGCATGAAACTGGGTTGCCTGATTTGGGGGGACATCGCCCCATTTTGCGCAACGGTATGGGGGACCCCCAAAATGGAGTTCGGTGTTCCTTTTGGCATCCCTTTCAACCCAAACCTACGGGTACCGCAGCTCAAAACAACCCACACCCCCATGCATGGGCCCCCTCGCCTTCACGCTGCGCAGGCTCTCGAAGACGGCGAAGATGTCTTTGGTCGTCAACCTCGGTCGACCAAAGCGGCACGTGCCTCTCTCTCGCCACTAGGTCCACTGGGTTTTCCGGAATTCAGGGGATTCCCACCTGAAAAAAACTGGACATTGTCTCTTGGAATATCTCGGAAACACATCATGCCCTCCAAATGCGCTTCTTCAGAAAATAACTCAAGTATTGCCGTTCAGACAGTTCTCAAGCAATACGCTCCTTTCAGAGTATTTTTTACTCACACACTTGATGCTCAGCCGTTTTTTTGAGTGCATACTGCTTCTCGGAGCATCGGCAGAAAGATTATGATTACATTTGTCCGTGGAACATTTAATGAGAACCATTGTGAGCCCCTCAGAGAAATACCAGAAAAATCCCTGCCACCGAACAGGCGGGTGTATAATACAGTCCTCTCCGAGTCCTCTCCGCTTTTTCGGGGAGGTCCATCAACAATGTCCTTCTCAACTGCAGCTCTCCCAATTCTTGCCATGAGCCCCACCCATGGGCCATGCCGCATTGCCCTGCACCTCTCTCTCATGCATGGGCCTCGCTAGCGCCTACAAGAACCAAAGGTGCAAATCCACAAGCCACAAACCAAAACCACCAATAAAGGGTAACCCTTCAGGTATGTTGGCAAGAACCTTGTTCTTCGCAATTTGCCACTAAACGCGTCCAGCAACAAAACACGACAGCCAAGCCACCGTAGTTCTACCAAGAGGCCTTGCTATAACCTCGATGAAGCACCTCCTAAAATGGCCACCAAGGGAGCCAGCATGCCAATATAAGCGAAGTGCAAGCTACAGTTGGGTGAAAGTCGAACATGTTGGTTTATCACTCCCTTTAAATCCTGACAAGAGACTTGTGCAATGCACTTTCATCGTGTACCCCCTATGTATTTCCAGGTCCTTTGGGCAAGTTTCAGCTAGGGTTACCCTGGAATTGCGCCATCTATCACCCTGCGGGGAAACTGGTCCCCAATCCCTGGCTGCACCTGAGGTTCTGGCCACGACAAGGCCATGTGCATGTTGAGCTGCGACCTGGGCATAAGCTCAGCACGGCCGGAAAGCGCTTTTCATTTTCTATTCCGGCCTGCGACCAACACCCATTAACTCTACCTAACATGGCTATAAAGGTCATATATCCCTTACTAAAACCCTTGCCATTCCAGTTGGTAGAACGAGCCTATGCGGATTTTGGGCAACATCAAAGGCGAGAAACTGGAACGCTACGCGCTGATTTCAAATGCGCTTCTTCAGAAAATCACTCACAGAGAATTTGCCCAGAAATATGTTCACCAGATTTGAGCAATTGAGTATCGGCCTTGTTTTGGAGCACATCGGTTCAACCAAACTATCTTCTTCTTCAAACTTTCAAGTGTCAGCTTTCTGGACCCCAGTAGTGGCATGAATGCGAACTAATTACGTTGGAAGGGGGTGGTAAACCGCCGAATGGGTATGTGTTTCTGGGGGGTATCCCTTGTTTAGGCTGGCTTACTGGCAAACCACAAGCAAACCAACATTTTAGGGGCCTCCATTTTGACTCACACCCAAATCCTCAAGGCGAGTGCGAAGGCCCGCACAAAGCTGGCTCCAGAATCACCTCATCTGCCGGCCTCGGCGACGCGCTTCGGAAGACGAAGCCTACTCAGAGGAGAACAAAGTCTCCACATTAAAATTTTGCGTTCTCCCACATATTGGAAATACGGTTGGACAAGATCCCCCCCCGTCTTTCCAGAACGCCAAAGATGAAAGATCCTGAGCGAGCAAGTGCTGAAGGCCGCTCAAGTCGAGCTCGAATTTCGAGGGGGCCGTAAAACAAAGCAATTCATGCTCCATCATGCGGGTTTTAGGCAACTTCACATTCAGCCATGCTGAATGGGTCAGGGGAACAATTCGCCAAGTCGGAAGGCTTGCCTCTCCCCCCCCACCCCAGCGCTAGGGCTGGCCTTTTCCTTCCCAAGTTCGCGAGCAATCCTGTGGGTTCTTCAGCGCCCGCTGGGTCGAAACCCGTTCTGGCACAGCCAGGACCATGGATCCAAAGGTCCATTGCGCAAAATAGGCCCCCGTATATCAATCAGGGGTCACCCCTACTAGCAGTGGCTGAAAAGCAGATGTTGTGGGCACAAAAGGCAAACAAACACCCAACAGAAGTCGCTCCCATCCGACCCGTTCGGTTCGGCGCAAGTTGCTAGAAACTGTCTACCAACTTGAAGTGGCCTCTGGCAATGGACATCTAAAGAAAGCCGTTACCCCCAACATTTGTTCATGAAACCCGAAAGCGGGGTTTCCACAAAAGATTGGCACTTCAAGGGCGTGTCGTCCAATCGGGCCTCTCTGGGTTCCTTAAAGTGGCGTCCTGAAGATTACCCGCGGGCCCCATAAGTTTGAACTACGAACAAGAACCAAGGGGTAGACTCAATATGCCGATTCCCTGATTCCCAGGGTTCCGACAAACTTCGCAAACGGGAAAACTGACACACTGTTTACAGCCACCAAGGGAAATCTAGGCCACCCTTCCGAATCTGAGGGTTGTTGTTAAAAAACAATATCCTGAACGGACATCTACAGGCGCTGGCATAACTCACCTGGATTTGGGCTCCGAGCCCTGGATTCCCTGGCCTGTTGCTTCCTAAGGGAATGAGGGCATGAGCCCGAACTGAACCATCCCCGGCGGTTGATTGGCCCAAAAGGGGAGCCCCTCTGATTGACCTGGCCGCCCTGGCCACAACGTGCTAGCTTCAGCGGTCAAATCCGAAGTACATCAATCCGAGGAATCTGCGGAATCCTTTAAGTCAAATAATTACTTGACCACCAAAGGGGGCCTGCCACCCATGGAACCTGCCCAAAACCCGAACCCTGGGCGCCGGGCAAGGCCTCCAGCACATCCCCAAAGCGATCCGCGAAGGCCTCGTCGCAGATCTGCTGAGCCTCCTTGCCGAACCTCACGAGAGAAGTGAGCGCCACAAATCCGGACGTTCTCTCAGACAAACGCAACATGTCTACCCTCAGTTGCTATGTAAAACTCTATGAATGGATCCGCACACACACACAGATCATATATATATATAATAAAGGAGTTTTTCAACATGGGATTCGGACACCCCTTTTGGGTCCACTCGAAATTGGAGGGCGAGCCTGTATGGAGAAACATCCATAGGGACGCTGTTTGTTCGACCCCAAATCTCGCTTCCAGCACTATGTGCGAAATTGGGGCGAACACGGCGCGGGTTTGATTGGAGAATTGGGAGGAGGGTTTGGAGGTTGGAGGGCAAAGAAGACATCCCTGGACTTGTTGGTTGCCACTAAACTGGACCTCCCAAATACATTGAGGTCCAGAAGCTGGGCAGTTCCCGGTGGTTTATCTGCACGCCCTCCTGCGCGAAGCAGCATTTGCCATTCGGAGCAAAGGCGAACGTGGCTAAAGATCGCCTTGGGGCAACTTTTGATTGAGTCTCCTTGAGGCTCGGCCTGAGGTTTTTTGGTTGTTGTGGGAAATTTCGTGGGTCACCCCATGTCCCTCCCACATTGGCCATAGACCCAAACTAACAATATATGTATACATATGTATATATATATATATGTATTAGATTATATTAGTAATATTATATAAAGCTAAAACAAATGCGACGTTGGAGTATGGGGTGCCATAATGCTAGATGAAGCTTGTAATAGTCAGCCCCGTGTACTAAAGTAATGTCTTGGAGATTTGATGGCCGGCGGCTCCTGCCCTGTCCTTCCTGCGACAACTTCTAGTGTGGGGTAAATCAACAGTAAATGGGAACGAGAACCCCCTCCAGCACCCCCCAACCACTGCTTTGTGGACAGTGTTGTTGGGGGGTGCTGGCTGGTTGATTCACAGGGGGGTTCGCAATCTAGGAGGAAATCCGGATCAAGACACCTGCGCTCACAAATCCACCGGGTTGATTGATGCGGGGTGCCGGGTCGACATAGGGCTGCAAAATGTCCCAAACTGACAGAAAGGCTATGCGCTGGACTAAAGACTTTTGACGCCCCCCATCAGCTTTTTCAAGCCCAGCAAGGGCAACCCTTTGTCCACTTCCATTCTTGCAGGGGTATTCAAAATGGGAACCCCAGATTCGTAAACCCATCCTATAAATAGCGGGGTGTTGCCCTCCAACAGTGATGCTTCCCCACTAAACACAGGGACCCCCTATCACTAATCTGGGATTTATGAATCCGGGCCACCATGTTTGCCCCACTGGTTGGGAAGAAACAGGATGTGCACAAAAAGTACATGGAAACCAATGTGGGTGGGTGTCTGTTTCCACTGGTACCCTTTTCTGGTTGGGCCCAAGTGGCAAGAGGTTGGCACTGGAACACGGGGTTATGTTCAGGGCGGTGGCCAACCCTGGCTTGCATGTGTTAAAAAAAAAGACTCCTTATAAATCAGCCACCTCCCTTTCCCTTAGGGCAGCAGGATCCAGGCTTCATTTACTTTCGCCCCAACCGCGCCGCGGGTTCTCAGGCTTCCACTCAGAAAGCTCAGATTGCACCTGGCGGAAGGTGCCAGAAAGCTTCGCATGCCGCTTCAGCCGCATCAACCGTTCTAGTTTTTGTTTTTTTCAGGGGCGGTCGTTCATGTACATGAGTAGCGACTGACTGCTTCATAGCTCTGATGAAATGCCTGCTACAAGCATACACTGCCAGCCGGGTGCGCCATTCGCACAACAAAAGCCGTACATTCATATGTGCTTCTTCATTTTCTCCTCTGAGGTTGCCCTGTCAAACGTAGACTATTTACCGAGTATCTTGACGACTCATACATCTCGCGCCCATTTTCAACCCCAAATAGGGTAACTTCCCCATTCTTTCCAGGGATGCTTCTTGCAAGAATGCCACGCCCAAGGGTGGAAAGGGCTAGTTTTCCACAAGAACAACGGTTGAAAAGAATGGGGAATCACCCCCGATTAGTCACAAACCCTTTGCAAGGATATAAAAGCTGCAGCCGCATGACATATGCAAACACCACAAATGCCGCAAGCCGCACAAGCGCCAAATGCAAAAGGAGGGCCCACAAATTGACCATGGACTACTGTGTAGTTTGCCCAAACCTCAAAATGCAGTTGGCAAGGGTATTTTCTGGTATGGAGGCATGGAGGTGATGTTACTTATAAACCACTTATACATC